ATATTATTTTTATTTCATACTGTTTTTATACTGTCTTGTTACTGTTTTTTTCTCTATCCACTTTGCTGCTGTAAGATTGGAATTTCCCCATTGTGGGACTATTAAATGAATATCTTATCTTATCTTCATAGCAAAACAATTCACCACAGGTCAAGAGTTGCTTTACACAAGTGAATACAATACAGTACTACATCCTTACAGCATGCCACATAGACTGTGTTGTCTTAGTACAACACATAATTCAAATGTGTAAAATCTGTATGCAAGGGAAATTACAAAACTATATGTTATTGTATGTATTGTATGTATTTGTATGTATATGTATGTTATATACAGACTTAAAGTCTGTTATGTTTCCTACATACGGGTGGCAGAGTTAGTTTTCATGAAACTTTGAATCAGATCTCAAAAGCACTGGCTAAGCAAAAGTCTAAATTATTCCTTCAGCTGCAAGTCCAGGAGTATTTAAAGGAACCATTTTTCTCCAGTCTCAGAAAATTGGGTGCCAAGGCAACTGTGCTGCATCATTAGTGCAAAATATCTTAGATTAGTCTTTTTTGAGAGCTTTGTAAATGTTGATAAGATAAAATTCAATACTCTTAGAGACATAAATTCTGGGTCTTACAAATGGAAAAGCCTAACTAGGGACAAGGACTGTAAATGAGCTACAGCTAGAGGTCCACATTGCATTGGTTGTATTTTATTTAAATGTAACAATGCCTACAAGTACCAGCCCTGTCAAATAAATAATGAAAATACAGCTTTCCCCCCCCAAAGAACCACAATTTCTATTCACTTGTGAAGAATAAGGAGGCTAATTAATCATACAACCTGATTCAGAAAACATTATGCCTCAAACATAATACAGTATATCGCACAGTATTAACCCAACCCAACACCTGATAATTGCATTGTTTCAACATCCTCTAGAAGAGAGAAAACACAAAGAGCATTAAAAAATTATAATTTTATGAATATGCAAAAATAGTTACGGGGCAATCACTTCATACAAAGGCAAAAATGAACACAAAGGAACAAAGACAGGAGAGAATGAAGCAAATCATTTGTCCACAGGCGCCTGCACGCACATCAAACAGGGACAAAAAAATAAAAAAACCTATTCTGCTTCAAAGACTGCCAGACAAGCATGGTATTAGACCAGACTCAGAAAGGGGAGGAAAATAAGCTGTATGTGAAGTTAGAGGTACTTAATAATTGAGTGAGCACAGTGCCACAGTCACTGTGCTATGGGTGTATGACAATAGTGTCCGACTGTGTTAAAGTGCCGGCCTGAAGTTTTCACTCTGCAGGGTAATGGGTTTCCGCCCAGTTCATACCAGCAGAGCCACCAGGGTTACCAAAGAGCTGGAAAAATAGAGAGAAGTCAAGGCAAATATAGTTGTACTTTGTGTTGTGTGTGAGTGAGCATGTATACTCTTAAGCTCTCCTTGGGTGGATCAAGAGGTCCTGATAGGCAAACGTAAAGATTAACAATGATTTCTGTGGGGATTCTCATTAAAAATGTGAATTGTATAGCCCTTAAAAACATTTTCTCACCAGGCTTCTCATTATTTCTGCCAAAGTTTGGACAGATTTCTGCATTTGCCTTTTTACTCAAAGTGGGCTCGTTTGGAAAAGGGTAATATCATCTAGAAATATTTTAATCAAAATGTGATAACAGTTGGTGGGTAGTTTGCTTATCCTGCAAGGCCACTAGCTATCAAATCTCATCAAACCTTATTTATCCGTGAATATTTAATGTTGTAGGGAAATATTTAAGATTTAAATCTTGAGTTTCCATAGCTTAGCTTTAAGGTCTTTATGTAAGGTTTGGAATAGGGTTACAATAACTATACAGTAAGTGAATGGAATAGCCCAATAATTTATTAATGATAATAATATAACAGTAATAGAAACAAACAAAAAT